GACCATTGGAAAATTTGCATGAAATAGCTTTTGTTTTGATTACAGTAAGTATAGTACTTAGCCACGTGCAGGCTATGCTTTTAGTTGTGATTTCATGCAATACAACCATCCATCCATATGCTATCCTCTTAGCTATGATTTCATTTCAATATATATCCATTCATTCATATATCTACAGCTTTTAAAGTTTTAGGCTACTAGCCAGACCTTAAAAGTTACTAGCCCCTGCAAGCCATAGCACATTCACCAGAGGTTCATTTCTATGTGCGAGGGCTAAATTGTGATGCCAAAAGACTTGTAGCGAGTGGAAATTTATTTTTCGTACATAGTAATCCTTGGTAAAGCACACTGTTGGGTCTTTCGTCGTGATTCAAACTCCTTTATTTTAGTTAGTGATATAATATAAATTGTTCAATGTTTCAGTCCATAACTGACTTTTTTCCATGTATTAGTGTGTCCTATGTTTGACCTAGCCCAACTACTTAGTGAAACTGTAGCTCAAAACCAAAAAAGTGAACTGCTGGTTTTTGGAGATTTTAATATCGATTGGCTGAATCTTAAAAATAATAAATCATGTAGGCTGTACGTAAGACTTTGCAGCTAACACAATTAATTTCCTTCCCAACTCGCATTAATATTAAAAGCCAGAACCATACCTAGCTAGATTGGATTCTCTCCAGTTCTCCTGACAGAATCCAGGAGGCAAGCATTCTCCCTAACGGTTTTAGTGACCACTGTCTAGTGTACTGCATATGTAAAATAAAGGTTACTAAATCCCCTCCCAAGATTATAATCACCAGGTCTTTCAAATTTTTTTTTATCTTGTATTCTTTTTAAATGATCTCAAGAACATACCATGGCATAGATAAGTATAATACCAGATCTAGACTCTGCAATTGCATTTTTTCAGTCCGAGATCTTGGGTGTTTGGACTTTGCATGCCCCTCTGCGTAAAGTGTGAATAAAAGGGACACACCTGACCTGGGTTACAGCTGCCATCATTCAAATGTACCAGTTTAGAGATTCACTGTGGTCATTTATTCTGCCGCTTTGTACTAGAATTTAATTACTTTACCCTCAACTATGACATTTTAAAAGAGCTAAACTGGCTGTTGCTGGAATCCCGACACACTCTTCATCTTTCCAGCCTTGTACATAAGAGCATTTCTGGGAAACTCCCACCCTACCTGAGTAGAATGCTCTCCCCAGCTGTTCCCTCCTCCTATAACCTCCGATCCAGTACTAGCACGATATTTAGCATACCGCAATATAAAAATAAAGTGGCTCGATCCTCATTTTCCTACAGAGCACCGCAATTATGGAATAACCTCAGGGACACAGTCAAATCTTCATTCAATCTAAAATCTTTTAAGAGATCTATGGCAATATACCTCAGCACAGAATGCACCTGTCATGGTTGAATATATTTATTACCTGTTATGTATTACATTTATATATGTGTGTGTTTGTGTGTGTGTGTGTGTGTGTGTGTGTGTGTGTATATATATATATATATATATATATATATAAATAATATAGTTTGCATATTGTATTTCTGTAATATTGTATCCTATTGTATCAATGCAATGTTTTGTGGACATAGGGCATCCTTAAAAACAAGATAAATCTCAATGTATCCTTACTGGTACCATTTTTTATAAATATATAAAATAAATAAATATGCATGCATCTTGCAGAGGAATCACTCTCAGAATGAATGAGAAACAGAAAAGGTAGTTTTTATTGGATTGACATTTCAGTTGACCGTGTTCCTTAATATATCAATAATAAAAGCAATGTCTACAAATACATTACAATGGCTGTAAAAATGAGTACAACATCAATTCCTTCCTAGGCCCAACCCATGTCAGATGATCGTGTTGAGAATGCACAATGTTTAAAAACAAAATGCTAAACGAAATTGAAACACAAATATGTAAATAAATATAGCGCTATATATATATATATATAAAAATCCAATAAAATCAGAAATCTAATAATAAAGTAATTATGGAAACAGTAAATCAGGTGCATTTTTTTGCGTAAGAGTTATATAGTAATAATACAGTGATCAGTGTTGGACTGACTGATTACCACAAAAAGCTTTCTCCAACATAACACGTGTGGAATGGGTGATGGTCATACATTGTATTGTATTGATGGAGTGATCACCTTCCCTTTTAGAATGGTGCAGCAAGTAAGGAAAGAATCCCCGCTCACATCTGTGGATAATCCAGAGAGTTTCAAAGTATGGTCAGAATTTATTACTAGCTAAACATACCTTGGTCTTTTTAAAGCATCTTTTCAAATAGGATACTAATTAAGATAGACATTTTGTGCAGTAAATATACAATGTATTGGATTTTGAGATAGAATTTACTAGTCCTGAAGAAACTGATTAATCTAGCTAGTAAAATTGAGTAGCGCACTCTAGTGGTGGTAACGGTGGAGATGCTGATGGTAAATAGTGAAAGGGACACTACAGTCACCAGAACCACTGCAGCTTTATGTACTGGTTCTGGTGTCTATAGCCTGTCCCTACAGTGTCGACAATGTAAATACTGCCTAGTAACAACTCTAGTTGCCCTCACTCAGACTCAGAGGTGCTTCCTATTTCGATGAGTTCAGCGGAGACACTGAACAATCCGCATAGAGATGCATTGATTCAATGCATCTCCATTAGCACATGTTGATTGGCGCAGAGCAGCAATTTGTCGCACATGCGCAATAGCCTTCCAGTGCTTTTGGTTTGGGTGAGATTGTCAAGATTGATTGGCCAGCCACAGTGAGACCAGAGCAGAGAAAATGTAAGTAAAGCTACCTTTTTACTCCATTCTGATTGGGCCGGGGACCTAAACATGTAGTCCAACGCTATAGTGTTCCTTTAAATGTAGAAATTCACACATTTTTATCCAGCAACTGGGTGTCTCCATCTTGGCTCCCTGTTAATCATTGTTATAAGTTTTGCTCTTCGCACCTGGCAGTCATTATAAACAAAGCATACAGAAAAAGGACAAATGAAACAATGTTTGTATTTCTCTTCATTTGCCATGTTGCCCCGTCTGAACCGGGTCATCTGCTAAACCTGTAGTATCAATTCGGAAGAAAATGGACTGTCCGGTGGAAAAAAAGTCATTTTCAATTATTTGTTCAGTGATGTACATTCCAAAAAAGTGACCGTTCCCCTTTAAGTGTTTAACATTTAGCTGTGTGTGTGTGATAAGCTGGGAGATTATCGGACACCCTAACCCCAACCCTCAGCTGGAGAAGTCAGAATGAGTAGGTTTCACTTTCTTTTTGTCCTTGCAAATATGGAATTCATGCGGTGAAGCACTTTTTCTGTTTATCATAACTTGCAAGCTGCAAACGAATAACACATCCGTATAAAACAGGAGCTTCCTACACATAGTGCAGTCAGTTGCATTTCATTTGAGATGAATATGTTCAATAATGCATGCCTTTGATAAGGAAATCTTTCTGGCATGAGGAGACGTGGCTGGGGAGGCATGTTATGGAACAGCATTCTGCAAAACATTAAAACATTTTCTGTGCAAAAACTAAAGAGTTGAACATTCAAACATTTACAGCATTTTAATGAAAATATCAAAATCTATGAAATGCAGTAAATTTGTATTGGCAATGTCCCTTTCAACAGCAATTCAAAATGTAACATCTATTACTGCAGTTTATTTTCCAGTTCACATAAAAAAAATCTTCGCTTAAGGGGGGGACTGTCATTCCCCAAACAATGTATGGTCAGTGGATTTAGCGTAACATTCTATCTCTACATTGTTGAGCACGCCTCTAGTGGCTATTTTCCTGACATTCTGTAGAGGCGTTCCCGTTTCTGTAACTTAGTGAAACTCTGTCTTGCAATCAAATGCTGATGCTAGCAGTATTTGATTGGAGGAGTGTGGCGTTTTTCTGCCTAAGCTCTCTCTAACGGAGTGCTTCTGCATAGGAAGTGTTGGATTGTACAAGATGACGGGTGACGTCAGCATACTTCCTAGCATCAGCAGAGAATCCTGGAACTGAAAACAAGGTAATAGTTATTTTATTTAATTCTCAGAGGGCAAATTGGGGTAGACAGTGTGCACATTGCAAGAAGAGAGCCCTTAGCCCCAACATATCTATTATTTTTTAATGCTCTGAAAATAGAAAATATTCAGTTATTACCTGTATAGTGTGTCTGAATAAGGATAATTCAAAGGCATGCCATGCCTTTTAGGATTCCTACTAGTTAGTAGTCCATCACCTAGAGAACTACTCAAAGAAGTGCAGGAACACTTAAACAAATTTTTTCTTAACACTCAAGCTATAAATTTTAAATGGGTAAGCAAGGTCATTATATCCAAAAGTACTTTTCTTTCCTAATATGTAGCATTTTCAAAATCCAAAACACTACAGTTCCAGAGTATGGGACTGGAGAGGAATTCCATGTACATATATATACAGCACAGTATACAGATGGAATATGTTTGTCCCTGAATGTGAACGTTTCATCCAGACATTTGTGGATGACACATAAACTTTAAAAACCCTTAGATGTTCAGTCCTCTTTCCACCATCCAAGGTACAAAGGGTCCAGGCACTCAGGAGTATACCGTATATACTTGAGTATAAGTCGACCCGAATATAAGTCGAGACCCCTAATTTTACCCCCAAAAACTGGGAAAACTTATTGACTCCAGTATAAGACTAGGGTGGGAAATGCAGCAGCTACTGGTAAATTTCTAAATAAAATTAGATCCCCCAAAAATATTAATTGAATATTTATTTACAGTGTGTGTATATAATGAATATAATGAGTGTGTTTGTATGAATGCAGTGTGTGTATGTGATGAAGAGCCTTCGTGGGGGGGTGGGCATTTTTATTATTTTTTTAAATTATTATTTTTTATTTATATTATTAATATTTTTTTATTTTAATATTATTTAAATTTGTATTTATTTTCGTCCCCCCTCCCTGCTTGATACCTGGCCAGGGAAGGGGGCTCTCACTCCCTGGTGGTCCAGTGGATGGGCTGTGTAGGAGGGGGGCTGGCAGGAAGTGTTTACTTACCTTTCCTGCAGCTCCTGTCAGCTCCCTTCTCTCTCCTCCGGTCCGGTCAGCTCCCCTATCAGCTCCCTTGTAAGTCTCCCGGTGTGACTGCCGTGTGGAGCATTGCCACGGTAACTAGTGGCAATGCTCTGACCCCGCGGCTCTCGCGAGACTTGCAAGGGAGCTGACAGGGGAGCTTACATGAGGAGAGAGAAGGGAGCTGACAGGAGCTGCAGGAAAGGTAAGTTACAGCTCGCTGCCAGCCCCCAACAGGACCGCCGGGCTTGTAATGAGCCCGGCGGTCCTGGTCTGTATTATAGCAATGTAAGTTGCCATAATACAGACATTAACTCGAGTGTAAGACAAGTGGGGGGTTTTGAGCACAAAAAATGTGCCGAAAAACTTGTCTTATTCTCGATTATATATGGTAATCAGGCTTGATGAAGACCTCAGTATGAGGTCAAATGTTGCTGCTTGAAATATGCACTATGTTTCATTAAAAATGCCTGATCATACCCTTGAGTGCCTGGACCATTTGTACTTTGGATTGTCCTAGAGGGGTATGCTAGTCCCGTCTAGATTTGGTGTGATTATAGGAAAAGTGCAGAATCCTATTTATTTTTTTAGATACAGCACTTTTTTACATCCGTCCTCCGTTGTGAAGGCAACTAAACTGTTACATTTCAGCCAACATATGGCCAGTGTAATGGTTTAACACAGGAAATGTAATGGTGTCTATGAAGAAAATTGCAGACAACAATTTGAAAGATATCTTAATACTGGCATATGATGCTTTTGGAATTTTCAGATAGACAAGGGCTTGACGAACCTCATGATCCATGGTTCCATTAAATTTAGCTCACTGAATCTGATTAATTTGAATATCATATATAAATATCTGCAAATACATTTGTTCTCTGGTTCATGAAACAAAGCAGGATAGATCTGAATTATATCTACATGGCTTGCTCCTAAATCCTGCAAACATTTGTTAACCCCTGAACTAGACAAAAGTCTAGGTTGTGATTCATTTCATTTCAACACTCATCGATGTTTGCGTTCCACCACATTTCTTTTTAATAAATTGAAGGGCTCCCCAGACCCGAATCCTGCAAGGCTTGTACAAGGTTGGTATTGACATCAGACCTAAACAGCTACCAGAGAAGAGAACCAGCTCTGCAATGTTCAAGATGAGTTCCTCTCTTGGATGCAAGTAGACACCTTGAAGTTTTAGCTGTGTCCTCCGTATGAGCATGATGTTGTAGAACAAGCGGACTGCAAACACTACTGAAATATTAAGCAGAACAACCACTTGCTCCTTCACTCTCTCCTTTACACCTGAAACTCCTGTTACAAGCCGAACAAGAAGCATCACAAATAATATTAGAATCAAGAAAGATGGGAGGCAAAACCCAAGAGAGAATTTCACAAAGTCGTATTCTGGCTGTGCATTTAATGGGTCTAATTGACAGTGGATTGTACTGTTTAAATCCTTGTATGTTCCTAGCTGTGATACTACCAGCTTGGACAAAATTAATGAGATAAGTAACATGATGCACGCACACACTTTGCGATGTTGAGTAGCCTTTGCCACCAATGAGTTTGTGTTGGATTCGTTCACAAAGACTAGCAGCAGCAACATCAGGAGCAATAGGATCTGAGAGTAGAAATAACTCAGGTTGAAGAAAGTGGCAAGGACACCGCAACTTAGATTGGTTATATTCATGTAGTTTGGTCTTGTAATGGCAGTAAACGAATACAGGATGATTGTCAGGTCCGTAATTGACAAGTTCAGAAGATAGAAGTCAAGGTGTCCCATAGTTTGATGCTTCACTTTATTCCAGATAATAGTTACCACACTGACAATACCAGCCAAAAAACCGAGAGGAACCAGTACACCAAAGTAACTGTGCATGACTCTGGAAATAATGTTTTGAGAAGCAATGATTTCTTCTATGTCTGCATTAGGCCCCAGATGTTGACTTGGGTACAACAGCCCCGACATGTAAGGATGGTCCATAGCTGGTAATATATCCTGAGTTGGGTCAGTGACTTATTGACCTGTTAATAGAAACAAAGATTTGTACCATGAAAAAGTCCAGTTGCGTTAAGAAATGGAAGAACATTGACAATGAAAAGAACTCTGACTGAAATAAAACTACCTTTTGTATCTAGAACATAAAGAGCTGCGTCGCATGTAAACTATGCTGTGTGTGTGTGAAACTACTAAAAGTGCACTACTGAAAGTCAGGCAGCCACTAGAGACCTGTTCTTGGACAAATGTAAATTTATCAGTTTCCCAGAAATGGCCATCTTTAGCATTGTCCAAAAAAGGGGCAGCATTAATGCAGAAAAACAAATGTGTGATCAGGAACCTGTTTTAAAGGGACACTATAGTCACCTGAACAATTTTAGCTTAATGAAGCAGTTTTGGTGTATAGAACATGCCCCTGCAACCTCACTGCTCAATCCTCTGCCATTTAGGAGTTAAATCCCTTTGTTTATGAACCCTAGTCACACCTCCCTGCATGTGACTTGCACAGCCTTCCATAAACACTTCCTGTAAAGAGAGCCCTATTTAGGCTTTCTTTATTGCAAGTTCTGTTTAATTAAGATTTTCTTATCCCCTGCTATGTTAATAGCTTGCTAGACCCTGCAAGAGCCTCCTGTATGTGATTAAAGTTCAATTTAGAGATTGAGATACAATTATTTAAAGTAAATTACATCTGTTTGAAAGTGAAACCAGTTTTTTTTTTCATGCAGGCTCTGTCAATCATAGCCAGGGGAGGTGTGGCTAGGGCTGCATAAACAGAAACAAAGTGATTTAACTCCTAAATGACAGTGAATTGAGCAGTGAAATTGCAGGGGAATGATCTATACACTAAAACAGCTTTATTTAGCTAAAGTAGTTTAGGTGACTATAGTGTTCCTTTAATTCATTGTATAAAGCACTTGGTAAATATATAAAATAAAATGTTTTATTCACCCCCCAGGGCTTACAAACAATATATTTCCTTTTTACATGCTTTGTGAATATATTATCAAGCCACCACTCAGTCACTCCTAGGAAAAGGCCAAATAATGTCACAATCAATGCATTTCTTATTGCTCTGAATACTTTGTCAAGATCTTTTGTTTTGTATTGCACATAATACTTTTTTAAGATCTTGACAAAGTATTCTGAGCTATAAAAAAAGCATTGATCATGGCAGTACTCAGGACAGCTCTGAGTGAGTGGTAGCTGGATAACATGTTCTCGAAGCATTATTGTTGTGTCTGAGTGTAAAACAGAGCTCCACAGCTATCATACTCCCAGTAACGTGTCTTTAAACCACAATAAATGTGTTTAGACATCATTCTGTGTAAATAATTTGCAAATTAAAATACATTACTTTTGTTCTAAATTAAATTTTTGTTGCATAAATTAGTAGTAAGTCGCCTAACATTTCTCAAAACCCCACCCCTGACCAAACCCCCATTCACACCCCTAAAATCAAAGTGTCCCTATTTATCTATATGAAATGTTGGGAGGTTTTACCGATTTACCTATTTTTGATTTCACCTATCTCCTCTGCTTTGGACTTGAAATGAAAACAGGTTCTTGATTTTAGATATTCGCTTATTGCTTCCTTGCTTATTTATTATTTTATTTTTGAGGGGGTAGTTGTGATGAAATTGTTCAATTATAACAGAAAACTCTAAAACTGCTGTTTGACCGATAACCTCAAGGTGATCTCCAGTGGTCTGCAGGCCATACATGATGAATTACTGGTTCTGAGGCTGTCAAATAGCGGTATTTTATTTATTGTCTTACTAAAGGCCATAAAAAAGTGTTTGATGGGCAAACATTTTTACAATGAAACCGCAGAAGGTATATGTACTTTTCCCCCCTAAATATTCATATTTTAGCCTATTTTTGCATGTACGTTTTGAACCCAGTAACACCCTGTACTATTTGTTTTTGAGATTTTTAATGTAGTAGCATCCTATTTACACTGGATTGTTGGGTAACATATATTGTTTGTTATGGCGGCTATTATTTGAATTGCACAATTAAAACCACTGTAATTGTTTCCATTTATTTTTATTTTTAGGATCCCGAGGACCCAGACAGTGCATTGTCACAGGTAAGCACTTTTTTTTTAAATCTTTCCTTGTGCATTATACTTGATAGAAAAGTTTTTAAGATTTATTAAGGAAAAAATTTCTCCTCAGAATAAAATTTGTTGTTTGGACCAGTGTTAATTTTGGCGCCAAATTTCAATTTAGTTTTATTCATAGTCTGACTACAAAGCCATTTTAGGTTTAATCGTGTTTTAGTAATCTGAATTGTTTTAGTTTTAGTCGATAAATCTCAAACATTTTAGTCGACAAAATTAACACTGGTTTGGACCATGTTAAACATTAATTCTGTTGATTTACTCATGATTTGAAAAATACATAGTCCTGTTTAATGCAACTATGAGCATATGTTCAAAATAGGATTTTTGGGGGGAAGCTGCATGTCACTTAACATTGTGTAAATGTTTGTAGAGAAAAAGCTAATTTTAGTATAATCTCTAAAATGTGTTCTTGTCCTATATGTATTTTTGGATATCTGATTTTCTCTGAAAGCGAAAGGAAAAAGGGAGACTGTAAGTCAAGTAACGTTGGATTTAATACATTCGATTTATTATAAATGCCTCAGAGGGTATTTGAAAGCATTGTACAAATATATTCGGGGCCAATACAAACCATTGTTTGGAAATCTATTCATAAACAGGACTATACATAGGACACAAGGTCACACATTTAAACTGGACGAAAGGTGATTTAGTCTAAGGCACGGGAAGGTTTTTTTTTTTACAATAAGAACAGTAAGGATTTGGAATTATCAGCCTGAAGAGTTGGTTTTATCAGAGTCTGTACAGATGTTTAAACTGCAACTGGATGAGTACTTGCAAAAGGGTAATATTCAGGGATATCATTTTTAAATTGTGGGGTAATAGCTTCTTGATCCGAGGAGATATCTTACTGCCTCTCAGGGGTCAAGAAGGAATTTATTTTTCTAGTTTGTTGCAAATTGTTTTTTTTTTTTAACCTTCTTTTGGATCAACAGCAAAAACAGATGTGAGGCTGCACTTGATAGATACATGTCTCTTTTCAGCTAGGTAACTAAATGTGTTGTACCTACAGAAAGCTGATTTTATTTGCCGTATGTTTCTAAATTGCTATTTCATTTGCAGTGTATAATTTCTTCAAAATGCGTGGGGGCAATTATGAGGTTATTTGTTTGTTAAATTTCACACCATCAATAACCTCATGACTCTCCGCCCCAAAATATAATTTTCATGCAAAATTAGACTGTAGTCGTTATAGGACGCTCTTGTGTTGTAAGCAGTTTGATAATACCTTGTAACATTTCTCTCTGACTACGTGTTATATTGACTTTAGAAACAGAAATATTCTTGAACTGCGTGGGGAGATAATAATTTTTTATGGTTCATCTTCAGTCATCACTCATTGTGATAGAACAGTTGGCCATCTGCTGTGTTTGCCAAGCAGTGTAATATGCTTGTCTGATGGACATTAATGGAGCAAATTTGGGATGATTGCGTTACATGGACGATGCTGTGTGTAATGACTAGCTATTGACCTCATCCAGAGGTAAAACTGGATTGTCTGTAGTTGTCGTTTTTTTTGGATATTTTATCTTGCGCACTGGGGAGAGATATTGAACTTGATTTTTTGGTGACCTTCCAAAATGTATTTACCTGTGATACTTCATTGATGCTTTTGAACAGTATCAATTATAAATCTTTAAATAAAGCAAAAAAAAAAAAAAATCTTACTAACTGAACATTGCTGTAGATTTTAGTCATGTCAGCATGTGGTTAAAAAGAGAATAATTCTAATTGTTACATGGTGTTGTGGTAATGGTATATTAATCCCTCCAGATTACTTAAGGTTCATCCTTGCTTAGGCTTTGCTGGCCTAAGAGATCAGGCCTTTATGGTAGTCCCACATTGACTTAATGTGACCCTAACTCCAGAAGCCAAAGGTGGTGCTCTTAAACATAGAGTATATAGACTTGCCACTCTTCCAAACCGCACATAACCTTATATATCAAGAATGCGCCACCTTGAGACCTGGCTCTGTCCCTCGTTTTATTAATTTATTAGTGCCTCTTGTTCTGGTCTTAAAACATAATTTTTGTGGGCTTTTTTGCACTTTTTCTTCTTCTTTTGAAAAAACTTCAATAAAACTATTAATTAAAAAAAAATTATAATAAAAAAAAAAAGATAACTGCAGATTAAGTATAAGCAGAAAGGACTGGCATGGGGTATAATGGTGGAATCGTTTGCAAGGATCTAATGAAAAGCAAACAGCTTTTTATGCTAAAAGCATTGTCAATAAACAGAATCTGATTCACTGGACAAATCAAAGTAGTTTATTAGCTTCCAGAGTCTGTTTAGTGGTTGTGGCGTATTGTAACATTCCAGTTGTCAATATGTTGCAGTCATTTTTTTGTTATACATGTAAAATTGATCATTCTCAATATACCATTAGATCATCTACATTTTTTTCACATTTTTAATATTTAATGGATACTATTTTTTTTTATAAACAACTATATAATTAAAGTAGTTCATAAAAATGTGAATAGAAAATAGAGAAATAATGTAAATTAAAAAAAAGAAGAGAAAAAAAATCTGAAAGTGATAGACTGATCAAAAACCATCATGTGTGCTTCATTCCATGGTTTTGGACTATTTACATCATATAGTATTGCTATGATACTATTCGGTTCCAGGTTTGCAGTTATTTTTAGTTACATTTTCTTGATATATAGCACGTCATTTCCACTTTGACTCTGTCTGTTTCTCTCTTTATTGGTTTCCACCCTATCATTATGCAATTTCTTGATTCTACTTTCCAGCCTTGCTTTTTATCCAGCGCTGTTTACAAAATGTCTTTTAACCCCTTAAGGACTGAGCCAAATGTACACGTTGTGAATGAAACAAAATGTAAACAAAACCTGGCATTTGCGCTACATGTCTGTCCAACCGTAATACACCTCTTTCATAGTAAATGCACCCACCCTTATTATATATCATTTTATTCAGGGGAAACCAGGCTTTCATTTAATAGCAAATATTTAGCTATGAAACATAATTTAATATGAAAAAAATGGGAGAAAATAAGATTTTTTAAATTTTTTTTAGTTCTACATGACATTTTAACTGTCAATGTCATAATACTGTTTGCTTTTACTGCAATAAAATACTCATTTGTATTCAGTAAAGTCTCACGTGTAAAACAGTACCCCCTATGTACAGGTTTTATGGCGGTTTGGGAAGTTACAGGGTCAAATATAGCACGTTACATTTGAAATTGAAATTCGCCAGATTGGTTACGTTGCCTTTGAGACTGTATAGTAGCCCAGGAAAGAAATTTACACCCATAATGGCATACCATTTGCAATAGTAGACAACCCAAGGTATTGCAAATGGGGTATACTAAGCCAAAGTTAGCGTTAGTATTTGTTTGTGTGAAAAAAGCAAAAACCGCCAATTTTGGCCAGTGTTTGTGACTAAGTGGCTACTAAAAAAGACTGGACATTCCCCAGTTTGCAATACCTTGGGTTGTCTACTATTGCAAATGGTATGCCATCATAGGGGTAATTTTCATTCTTAGGCTATCATAGGGTCTCAAAGGCACCGTAACCAATGTGGCGAATTTTAATGTGAAAAAAATGAAACGCAAGCCTTATATTTGACGCTGTAACTTTTGAAAACACTATAAAATCTGTACATGAGAGGTACTGTTGTACTCGGGAGACTTCGCTGAACACAAATATTTGTGTTTCAAAACAGCAAAAAGTATCACAGCAATAATATCGTCCGTGTAAGTGCTGTTTGTGCATGAAAAAGTCAAAAAACTTCACTTTTACTGGCGATATCATCGTTGTAATACATTCTACTGTTTTGAAACACTAATCTTTGTGCTCAGGTTTTTATTTTATTTTAAGTTCAACGGGTATGATGGTTTTTTATTTGGCCTTTTTTGGGGCTGAAAAATGAAGATTTTAGAAAAATGAAGACGTTGAATGGTAAGTTTAATTTTACTTTACAGGTTAGTAATTTTATTCCCCCCTCACTATTTTTTAAGGTGAGGGGGGTAGGTAGGGGACTTTTTATATGGGTGGGTGACTAGGGGCTTGGGGACCCCTAGTCACCTTTGATGGGGGGGGGGAATTTGACTTAGAGCCCCCACCCGCCACCCAGGGGTGGGGACCTGGGGGGAAGACAGTAGGTCCTCCACCCTCATTATCATTATGGCCTTCACCTGCCGCCAGGGGTGGGGGCCTGGGGGGGAGGACAGTAGGTCCCCCCCTCATTATCATTATGGCCCCCCACCTGCCGCCCAGGGGTGAGGGCCGGGGAGAGAACAGTAGGTCCCTGTCCTCCCTATTGTAATTCATGGCCTCCACCCATCGCGCAGGGGTGGGGGCCGGATAGTAGGGTTTTTTTTGTTTTTTTTTCAGTGTGCAGCCACAGGCTGCTCACTGTTTAGTGGACATGCCCCTACTCGCGGTATAGCGAGTAGGGACATTGGGGAGATTTTAATCTCCCTTATGCTATTATGGGGGTCATATTGCATTTTTTATTCATATTGACCCCCATAGAGTGAGGGAGTACATGGTGGGGGCGTACATGGAGGGGGCTTAGGAAGTGGCGGGAAGCACTGCTTCCTGCCGCTTCTGTCTTTACATATTACAAGGAGGGAGCTGCACGCCGGTAGCACCCTCCTTGTAATAAACTGAACGAACAAACGAACACTGATATTCAGTGTTAGTTTGTTCGTCTGACATTTCTATTCATTCATTCGTCTGTCTGATGAATGAATGAATAGATGAAATTCCTGTTCGCATGTCCAAGTGTTTCACTGGGCATGTGCGGGAATCTCACAGTCTATCTAGTGTGGGCAGATGACGTGTCCCACAGGGACTTCATCAACCCCCGCAAAGATGGTGGCGCCCTGAATATAGATCAGAGCAGAAAATAAAGATTAAAAAATAGGTAATGTGGGGGCCTTAGGGGCATTTGGGGATGACTAGGGTGTCTTAGAGATAGTGGAGGCGGGAGGGGGTTAAAAAAACAAACCAGGATTTGGCATGACAGTGCCGCTTTAAGTATATATGCTAAACCATTACATTTCCTTAGAAATGTATATATTTTTAAAGCTATAAAAAATTACTAACCCTAACAATCCACTCTTGAGTTGTGAGAGCCAATCACACTGAGGACAAGCCGTAAAAGGACACTATAGTCACCAAAACAACTATAGCTTAATGAAGCCGTTTTGGTGGAATGATCACGCCCCTTCAGTCTTACTGCTCAATTCTCTGCCATGTAGGAGTTAAATCACTTTGTTTATGCAGCCCTAGTCACACATTCCTGCATTTGACTTCACAACATTCCTGAACCCTTCCTGTAAAGAGACATGTAATGTTAACACTTCATTTATTGCAAATTCTGTTTCATTAAGGATTTCTTATCTCCTGTTTTGATAATAGCTTGCTAGACCCTGCTTGAGCATCCTGTATGCAATTAGAGTTACATTATCAGAGCAGAAGATTAAAAACATTTAAAGCAACATCTGATTGAAAATGAAACCATCTTGTTTTCATGCAGGCTGTGTGAGACACAGGCAGGGGAGGTGTGGCTAGGACTGCATAAACAAAAGTGCCTTAACTCCTAAATGGCAGTGAATTGAGCAGTGAGACTGCAGAGGCATGATCTATACACAAAAACTGGTTAATGAGTCATAAGTTGTTTTGGTGACTAGTGTCCCTTTAACTGATGGTTTAGCCAGAAATTCACCCCTGTTGAATGTGCCATGGACTCTTCGGACTTGCTATGGTGAGTAACTTGCAAAGCCTCGCTAGTAACATAGGACTTGAATTTCTAAGTCCTGTCTTACAACATAAAATTATTGTTACTGGCTGTCACAACGATTCCATGGTGTGAAACTGGTATTTAAATTCACCAGGCCTTGGTATTGAGACTTCAAATAATAGAATAGTTTATGCAGCAATTATTACCACGGGGACATATAATGTTAGATCTCCGCAATGTCTGCAAGTGAATGGCATGCTATCATTGGCAATGGCTGTCCCAGCAATGGCATGACTTTAGGAATCTTCTGAACGATATTTGTGTGAAGACTCAATTGTAGCATATCCAGAATTAGCCCAATCTCACTGATCACTGTGAGACCAGCTATGAAATAGCACTTTTGGCAATTAAGATCGAGTTGTACATGCATTGGCCAAAGGCTGTTTCAACTAGCCTAAGGCCAAAGACTGAGATTTAATTAATGGTAATTCTTTGAGCAAAGCTTGATGATGTAGGTCAGTGCGCTGCCATAATTCTCAGCCAGGAGCCTGAGTGATGGTATTTGAAATCCACAGTTTATTTAGATTGTAAGCTTATGTGGCGGGTCCTCACTGCCTTTCCTGTGTTAGCTTGGTTCTGTCCATCAAACTAAGTTTGTTATTGTTATATCGTCTCTCAGTGTATCTAGTAAATACATGAACATTATAATAGTGTTATCACTAGAGTAATTTCAGTATATATAACATTTCCCTATGTAGCATGACTATCTTTTATTAAAAATAAATACAAATATATATAGACCTCAGTTTGGCAAACCTTTGTTAAAACAGATCCTATACTGAACTAAAACTTAAAAAAATGTATTCTTACAATGCAATATTTAAACAGATTTGTAGCCCTACAGTCCGTCTACCAATTTTGGCCAGTCACTTGTTAATACTTGTAGCCTCAACAGCCGGAGAGTGACAAATTGCTGGAGAGTTGGCTGAGCTTCATGAGGAATGCAGTTTAACAACAGTTGCAGTGCCATATTTAGTCTTTATTGTTTTAGTGCAATCACACGTCAGATTATCTCCTGATATGTAATCTCTAAAACAATATCCTGTCCATGATCTGCTGCGTGCAATACAGACGTGTTGCATAAACTAATCTAATGCAGAGCTAAAGTTATACCTGGATCTAACCGACAGATGTTTACATCTTGCATAGTTCTGTTCTTTGTTCAATATACGTAGACTATTTACCCCTTCCCTACCCATAGCCAAAAAGCAGGCCATTCCCTTCACTCTAAAATTAACCGCTGTCATGGTGGCGTGGTACCCGTCTCTTGACAGAGAAGGATTCCTATTTTTTTATATTCAACAGCACCAGTAATGGGGCCAGAGTAAACACAGTGCCTCTGGATAATTCCCTACACCGGGATGTCCTGTGTATATACTGATATCATTTTTATCTGCTCCATAGGTCCTCGCAATATCTGCCTGGGTTAACGAGGATGCTTACCTTGCCAGGAGGATTTGTAACGGTCTTTAAGGCCCGAGTACCCGTCAGTCCTCTCTCTGTTCTGCTCTGTATTGAGTCATTGGAATCTGGTGAAACTGCCTGTAATTTGTAGTCCTGAGGCAGTAACGGAAGTCCCAGTGTGAGCAATTTGAGAAGTTCAGCACACGATTTTAACAGAACGGTGTTTTACATGTGACACACTTTCTCAGAGCAAAAGTGAAACTTTTTTTTTGTAAACCAGGCTTCCTTCAATTCTCCCTTGTATGTTATATAATCTCGTACATGGAGAGAAAATAGATACCAGATGTTCTAGAGACATGGATAACTGTCTGTCTGTGCAATTATTAACAGAAAATAAAGTTTTTTTTTTTTTTGTTTTCTAGTTTGTCTGTCCATTAGCAAATGCATTTATTTACCTATTTTATAGACCCTACAAAAGCATGTGTTCTGAAAGCATTTTAACGTTTTTGTGGTAAAATATTTATATTTGAACCCATTCCATACTAATCCAATGTATACCTATATTCCTTTTTATCCCACTCAAAAACCCCTTCAGCCACTTACCTTAAAGGACCACTCTAGGCACCCAGACCACTTCAGCTTAATGAAGTGGTCTGGGTGCCTGGTCCAGCTAGGGTTAACCCTTTTTTTAATAAACATAGTAGTTTCAGAGAAACTGCTATGTTTATGAATGGGTTAAGCCTTCCCCCATTCCCTCTAGCGGCTGTCTCATTGAGAGCACGCCAGCGTCCATAGGAAAGCATTGATAATGCTTTCCTATGCGACCGGCTGAATGTGCGCGCAGCTCTTGCCGCGCGTGCGCATTCAGCCGACGGGGAGGAGAGAAGGAGGATCGGAGGAGGAGGGCTCCCCACCCAGGTAAGTTTTTACCCCTTCCAGAGCCGGGCGGGAGGGGGACCCTGAGGGTGGGGGCACCCTCAGGGCACTATAGTGCCAGGAAAACGAGTATGTTTTCCTGGCACCAGGGCCGGACTGGCCCACCGGGATACCGGGAAATTTCCCGGTGGGCCGTCGGCACCTGGGGCCGGCCCTTTAAATACTGCAGCCGCCTGAGCGCTCTGTG